TAGTATGAAAAATAAAGAGCCAAGGTAAAAACAAACTCAAAAATCCAACACAGGAACCAGGAAATCTCAGACATAGACAATGGACCAGCAACAAATAGGACTGAGAACAAGGTACATATAGACTCAGAGAGACATGGGTGACACTTGGTGGGGTGGGGCAGGCACAACAAAGGGCAGCTGGACAGTAAAACTAAAACTAAAAGAACTGATGTCAAAATGAGTTGAGTTGAGTGTTTATTTATTCTGAATTCAATGTACAGCAATTATTAAACAACATTGTCAAATGTAACTACAATGTTCCAACAAATCATACATTTTTCACGCTCGAAAAGGAGTGGGATTAAGAAAAAACGCAGACATTCCCACCCCTGTGAATATAACCATGTACCAAATAACATATCAACTCCACGACAGTAAAACAGAATACAAATGATTTTTGTGGTTCTAGGATTCATCATTTGACCAACACTGTTAATCTCATTTTGACTACACAGGATATTATGCGGATGCTTTAACTGCAACTTCAAGGCAAGGCAAGGCAAGTTAATTTATATAGCACAATTCATACACAAGGCAATTCAAAGCGCTGAACAAAACAAGAAAGCATTAACATCATAAATAATCACAGAACATTAAAAAGAAAGATAAAAATATAAAATCCCTCAGTTGTATGCACAGTTAAACAGAACTGTCTTTAACCTGGTTTTAAACATTGTCAGAGAGGAGGCCTGTCTCACTTCAGACAAAATTGCACTTGCTATTTTACTCATTGTGACGCCCTTTGAAGGATGACGTCTGTCTCTGCCACAATGGGATTGAAGGGTATTGGGTCATTCTGTACTTTTTGTTCTGCTCCGGTCTCTATTCCACCCCCAACATACGGCCGAACCCCTTCCAGTTCACACATAGGTAAGTGATAAGGCAGAACAATGATAGCCATGATATGGGGTGAGGGTTAGGGTTTGGTGGATACTGGGAATATTTAGGGCTTGGTTGCGAAATAGCTCGATCGCAAATGGAATCTGGATGTGACGTAAGGAGTGACATGGAGCAGATTCAAGTGAAAAAGTAATTCCTAAAGATACAAGATATTTGTTCATTTATTCAGTTTTCAATCAGCATCGTTTTTTACCCCGGTGTTCAGTCATCATAAATTTGTTACATGACATTGTTTTTGTAAAGGCCTAAATCACAACACTAGTCATCTCGGAGGACTTAACAAAGTTGTTGATTCACCAGCAACAGAACAGAGCAGAGGATCAAACTGTTCAAACACAGGGAATGCAATAATGTCAAACACATAGGAGCCATTGATCCATAGAGAGCGGGTTGACCACTGGAGTCGACCAAATGTTTTCAAATACTGTATGTCCTCAAATGTCCCGGATCGTCACTGGCCTTAGACCCTCCTGCAACGGCAAGAAACGCCCATATTGAGAGAGGGATCCACAGGCTATAGATCCAGGACTCAGGCTGTAGAACGAGGACTGAGGCTCCCAGAAAACTGAAATAAACCTATCCTCATTCAGAAAGAAAGCATGCAAACTCGACACGTCCCACTTTTACAAATCACTGTATTGACTATAGGACGCTACTGTCAAGTGGGTGAAAAACAAGGACACGCAAAATGTAAAATAACGGATTTAATAAAATGTGATACAAATCAAGATCAAGCTAAAACACCACCAAAAGTAACCAAACCGGGAACAAGGACGAGAACTGAAACAGACAGTGGAATGACAATGACGGAACGGGGAGTGAAGGAACACAAGGGGCATAATGTAAATACAAGACTAACGAGACACCGGTGACATACATCAGTGACAGGACAGGTAATCAGACAACAGGAAGTACAACTAAAGACACAAATTACAAAATAAAACAGGACATAAACATAACATGACAGCTACTTAGTTGGAGTGGAGCCGTGTGAGATCATGGTGCATTGTCTCTCATCATTTCCACTCTTGTTCTCTGCCGCCTTTAGTTCTGAGAATGAAAGTGAATGCCTTTTGTTTACTTTTGACTTTTGGACTGTTTCCGTAAACAGTGGGCAGACAAGAGCAAAGTCCTGATCCTCATTGTTTAATGTGATGCAGCGCCCCCAGCCAATCAAACGCAACTGATGACTTCTGACCTTGATAAAGCGACTCGGAGGCCCCCAGGTCTCCTAAGCTTTGTGTCGACGGGTCAGAGAGTGTGTTAGCTTAACATATAATTAAGGTTTAATAACCCCTAGTTGTTTGTCAACACTTTTCCTACTGTCTCGTGCATGCTTTATAATCTTCAGAGTGCCTGCAGAGCCTCTCTCTCCGATAACATCTTAAGCCTCTTGTTCCAGAAGCCCGGGCTGGGACTAACTACACTGGCCAGTCATTTACAAGGCCCGATAAATGCACTAGGCTAATCTGTCTGCAGCGAGGTCTGGCCTGGCCTTCACTCCTGCCCCTGGTTCAGAGCGGTGCTATCTGCAGCACTGCCTCACCTGCCACACAGGTACAGCCGGGGAGATAAGGCAGCGCTGTGTAATTAGGAACAACTCTGCGCTCCTCTCCTGCCTTTGTAAAGCCTATTATTTTATTATGGACTGGAATTAGTTTGGAACAATAGATTACATTTAACCTCGACATGACATTTCTCAGTGTTGGAAGCATCCAGCATTGTAATGTACTCACTGTTAATGAAAGGTGGAACGGTCAGTGTTTTTCCATTAACTTTGGATCAACTTTGATGGAAGGCTCGGCAGGCGCCAGTAGACAATGTTCTTTCTGGATACGACAATGAAAGATACATTATGTTCAAGTCATACAAATGCTGCATAAAGGGAAAAACTTAGCTTGAACCTATTCATTCAACGTGATAGATTGTCAGGATAAGTGAGTGGCATGATTTGAAATTCTTCATTCAACACGTTTGATTGTAAAAACCGCAAATGGCATAACATCTTTGTGTGTGTTTCCTTATGACCTCCTGATTAATAATGTGTGTTATTGTATACATCAGTCTATAAGCGAGGCTGTAAAGTGTATTGAAAAATGCATTCAGCAAGAAAAGCTCGGAACATTCCTTTATGCAGCACATTCATTCTATATTCCTGTTCCACAATGCAGAACAAACCTTTGCTTAAAGATGAATGAAAGCACTGCAGTCAATTATTTTGTTCAATGTATTAAACCTTGATTTTACACCTCTAAAAGTAGTGGATGTAATTTCTTCAATTCCATTCAAATAGAAATAAAAAGAACCCCCCCCAAAAGGCAATGAAAATAACTTGAATGTAAAAAAAAAAAACTGCAATTGTGTTCCTAGATAAAGCAGCTCTGTTTTGGCTGCTTCTGTATTTTTTTAACCATTTTCAAACAGTCTAATTGCTAATACTTTCCATTCCCGAGCATGTTGAAACCACGAGGCGTCTGCACCAAATAAAACGTGTCTGCGCCAGTGAATTATTGGAAACGAACGACAAAAAATAATTATGGCGGACTCGGTTACAAAAGCTCATTACTGAAGCTGGTGCGATCCACTCTGTTTTTTCCTTTTGGTTTGAACGAGACAAAAGCTTGAACAATATCCCATTAAAGACCTCTTCCACAGCCTTTCAGAGCCGTTACTGCCGGAGAGACAGTGGTTCTGAGGATTAGGGCTGATAGCGCTCACACTAGAGGAATGAGTCGCTGTTCGTTTGAAGGCGGCTGAAGACACAACACAGAAAAGACCGGGAAATATAATGGAAGAATGAGGCTTCAGATATAATATGGGCAATGGTTTCAAATGTGGCACCGCTTGCTTACACTCTCAATAAAGGAAATGATGACCCTGAATAAATATATGATGTCATCCTTTGCATTATTCCAATCAACAAAAGAATGAGATGGGAACCCGGCCAGATTTGTGCATATGTATGCTGCAACCCTGGTATTTAAATTCAGGACCAAACACATGTCAACACAAGAATTGCATTGGTGAAAGACCAGAGAGTTTTTGTGGAAATATGTAGGTTTTACACCATCGGGAAGACGGGAACGAATCAAAATCAAGTAAAGGTCTCAAAACAAACTCCTGTTTTTCAAAATCTGCGACACAGAGTTTTACAATTCGGTCAAAACAATCCCCCATCTCTATTAACGCAACCACCCAACAGACCACCTCAGACAAAAATATTATTGAACACACGCACAAGCATAGACATACTAAAAATATGTACAATAGGTCTAGCATGTGCCTCCTATACTGGCACTCCCAAAAATAACAATTGTAAACCGCTTTGAGACTCTGATGTGCAGTGAAAAGGCGGTATATAAATAAAGATTACCTACTACACACACACACACAAACACACACGCTCAAGCATACACACACACTACACATTCACATACACATTCATAAACACATGCTTCTGTCTCTATTCAATGTATAGCCCAAAATCATAGCCACAGTCATCTTGGTGGGCTTTATAAAGTTGCCAATTCCTCAAGAACAGATCAGAAAATCAAACATCCCATACCTCTGGACACTCATTAATAACCTACACTGTTAAATGTCTATTGTGTGTATTTTCATATTAGAATGGTAGTTTATATTTATTTCATACTTTTTTATTACTTGTTTGCCCCATACACCAAAGCAAATTCCTTTTTTTTTTTACATGGCCATGAAACATTAGTCTTGTTTTAAGTAACACTTGTGTCTTTTTTAGTAAGACATTTTGAATTGGCAAATCGTTTTAAGTTATTCCAAATTTTCTCAATTTTACCGATAAAATAACACATGTATTCACTGCTATATGTGTCTCAGCATCCGCAGCGTATTCATCGCCTGGTTTCTGTCTTTGTCTCCTTTTTGACATTCCTTGTTGCCATGACGTTCACACATCGCCGACCAAGCGGATCCTCTCCGATACTAAACAAACAACAATAACGCCTCACAATACGAACATAATGTAAGAACACCGTCAGAGCAGTCTGCGAGCTGAGAGACAAACACAGCGATTGTGTCGGAAGCTACGAGCCGCTCCTGTGCCGGGCCTCTCCAGCCTGGGACCCAGATAGGACCCACGGGGGGTACAGCAGGGAGCGGGAGGAGGGCCTGGGTGATTTATGGGGAGCAGAGCACTGATAAGAGGGTTGCCTTCATTTAACGTCTTATCGGCCGCGGGAAAGAAAGCCCACAATTTGCAGCATTCTTAAAAGCCCCAGATGCGACTAATCTCTGCTCCTTTCCAGACAATCTAAAAAAAAAACTATACATCACTCACTTGTCTCGGCGCCGCAGCCACACAGGGACGAGGTGGGAAAAACAACTCATATTCATCATAATGGAAATATCTAAAGTGCTGCTGGGGTGGACGGCCCAGGTTAGAACAAGGCTTTCTTCATTTTGTTGTGTTTTCATTCAAAGTTTGCTCTGTGTGAACTTTGCAGCAACAGAAATACGATTTGTGGTATTGTCCTATTGTGCTACTGCAATAGGGCCAAGCTCAGGGCAATTCCAAGAGCTTTAAAAAAAAAAACTAGAAGAGAACCACAAAACAATAACGGTGCATTGATTTGAAAAGAATGATTTTTTTGCAAGAAGTGTAGATTCACCTTCAGAGTCACTTTCAATTGTATGCACAGCTAAACAGAACTATGTTATAGTTTGGACTGGAAAATTGTCAGAGGAGAGGGTATCACTGCAAAAAATGATAAAATATGAGGTAATAAATTGCTTGAATTGAGTGTTTTTTGAGAACATTCTGACTGTCTTAAAATGGGATAAAGCCATTAAGTCTGATTTCAAGAGCCATTGCTTTATTTTCTCATTCCAAAGGAGACATGTCTTGCATCCTGTTAAAACTAGATAATTAGGCTAGCCATTTGCAAATCTCTGTTTTAAATGTACTCAAATTAAGACACATTTTGCCTAATTTTTTCACTTTATGCAGCGTATGTCTCACATACATACTCACATACTGTTTCAGGAAGACTGTTCCAGGTTTCAGCGAGCTGGGAAAAGACGTTTGGGGAGCCCTGTGAGCAGGCTGTTACAGTAGTCTTACCTACTGGAAACACATGCACGGATAAGAAACTTCAAGTCTGCTTTAGATGCTGTGATTCTGGCAGGACTCCTCAGAAGAGATTCTGCCATTTCAGTGGGACTTTCCTAGCCTGGGTTGTACCACACCATAGTACAAAATACATTTCGTGCTAAGGTCTGGAGGTGCTCCATTGAGCTCCGTGAACAGGTGGGAGGGGTTAACTCCTTTTGCAGATTGAAACGATTGGATCTGAGTTTACCGTGACGTATGTAGTGCGCCCGTGTGAGTCGTTAGCATTTAGCATTTAGCCTAGCCATCTCCTTTTCCGCTAACGCACCACAATTTTTTCTAGTGATTACATTTGCTAAACATTCCTATTGCTCCGGCTTCAATTTATTGATTGAACCAGACCGGATAACTTTACTATCGCATTTTTCGCCATTGCCAAACTACAACCTGCCCGTTCGACACAAACTCTTGACATCACCCACAACTAACTACAAGACCCATTCAACCGATTGTAATCGCTAACATGGGGACCAGACCCAGACGTTACATGCAGGGAAATGATGATAGAGCGCAGTGTACGGATGGCTAAAGCCAGGCTAGGACTTTCCTGGTCAAATACAGATTGTGGATTGTAAAAAGCTACTGATGGCTGTCTTTAAGTGTATAATTTCCCTTCTATTTCTACCATGAAGATTTTAGAAGTTTTTTTTTTAAGGCAGTCAAAATGAGCTCAAACAAAGAAACTTTTTGCCAAATTTGAAAAATTTTTGACTAATTTTGTCTTTACTTTTTGCAGTGGATACAAAACATACACATCGCTGTTAGAAACGACCTCATCTAAAAAGTGAACAGAGCGAGTTTGACACGACCTGAATGGCTCGTGCAGCGTCACTGAAGAGTCCACAAAGAGACGCCTGCTGCAAAGAAAGTCTGTGTGAGTGAGTATTGATAACCTCTGAGGCCGCAATAATATAGCGCCTGACACAGCTGATCGATTCTAATCACACAAATAATTACTCTGTGAGCTCAGGACGGCATTGATTTTCAGCCAGTTGTTTGCATTAATGTCAGATCCGATCATAATCATATTTTAGACTTTTCCTTCAAGTTTAAGGTCCTTGTGTGGCCTGCATGAATGTCATTGCCCTGGATTGTCAATATGCATTGATGTTCTGAACTCAAATCTAATTACAGCATTAAAGGACTGTGGGTTGTAATATGGAATGCTTTTCTTTTTAGTAAAGCTCTGCATCTCACACATTGCATAACAATACAAACACAAAAATAGTCTTGGTTCTCCTCTAAGTCCTGGATCGAGCGGATCTCTCTCTCAATGCAGGCCTTCCCAATGTCTCCCACTGGGTTTTTGAGTCGTAGGGGGGTCTGAGGACAGCAATGGACATTTATGGAGATTTATTTACATTTAAGAACATAGCTCATCTCGCTATCTATGAACCACTGGCTCCTATGTGTTTGTTATTACCGACTGGGTTCGAATCCCAGTCAGAACAGGGTATTTCTGAGTGGAGTTTGCATGTTCTCCTTGTGTCTGCATAGGTATTCTTGGGTTTCCTCTACCACTAAAAACATGCACACCAGGTCAAATCCGCCAGCTCCTGTTGTTCTGACCAAGCCGAGCAACAACATTTGGAGAGAATGGGTCAAATGCAGAGGATGAATTGTGTGTGTGTTTTTTGTTTTGTCCGTCTTCTTCCATCTGTGGTAAAGTTTTGTATTGTTTATTCTTTACAATTGTGTGTTTGTACTGCAGGATGTTATTATAGCAGTGTGTTGTGTGCCAGGTGTGATGGGGGTTGGAATAAAAAAAAAATGTCTAACCCTGTTTGAACTACGTCCTTGTTGTGTGTCTTTATGTTGATGTATGTGAAGAATTATGTTGTGCAGGTTCCAAATAAATCATCAAATCTGGACAACTGTTCTCTGCCAATGTTCAAATCCAGGTTCTGTTTATCTGATCATACAACTTCTCTCTTTTTATCGCACTGTGATCATTTGTACAAAAAACATTTACCTTGCGTTTTTTGCAGTTAATTTGTTTACTTTGAGTTCTTTAAAATCTGTGTTTAGATTATAAGAAACAATGATTTAGTGAATCATTGAGTAAACAAGTAATATTTACTTATATAGCACATTTTTATAGACCAAGGTCACCCAAAGCACTTCAGAGTTCCAATATTTTTCCATTCTCTACACTCCCGGTTATGACAGAAGCGGGCCCATCAAAGCCCCCAATCCATTCACTCACTCATAACATTCATACCTATTGTGCAGGTTTTTAGTGGTAGGGAAAACCGGTGCATCCGGAGGAATACACAGGTAGAAACTTGTGTCTTCCTCCAGGTGCAAACCCCACTCAGAAAAGCCCTGTTACGACTGGGATTCGAACCCAGGACCTTCTTGCTAAGAAGTAAGAGTGCTATCCATTCAGCCACTTTGTCGCCTACTATGTGACCTTGCTTGTAATGACTTTGTTATATACTGTATATATCAGTTTCACATTGTAAGTTTTATTGTAAATACAAAACTAAATGGACTTTTGAACAATATTCTGATTCCCACTTGTCTAACTCACACACCTGCACTAAAGGAAGAACACCAAACATCCCTCAGTCATTTTATCAGACTATATTTTATGTAGATTTGTGGAAGAAGCGTGTTTATCAGAAGTCGATCATCTGCAGTGAGACATGTCCTGGTAATTCCGCTTTCATTTCTGTGTTTAGCCTGAGCTGCTACAATCCCCCAAATGTATGCAATCTTTCCCCCCCTCTTTAAATTAGAGCATAGATCCGCTGCTCCTTCGCCTGGCTGTGTTGTACATGTCTAATTAGTGCCGACACTCCACAGTTGATTTTGGTGGCCCCCTCATTCCCAAGTATTCATGAAAGCCACTGAGCTGACAAATGGGATGTTTCAGACGACAGCATCTCATTCTGACAGATAATCCTGGTTAAATATCCGGCCTGTTTACGGCTCAGGTAGGGCTGAATGACACTCAGGCAATGCTCCCATACGTTATGCCAAGTGTTTTCTCTGCCGGTATTGATGAATGTGAATGAAAGTAGTGTTCAGATATGAAAAAAATGAGTTATTTTAGTTTATCTGCTGGAGCAACAATGTGCGAATATATTCTAGTCACCCAGTTGTTTTACAGTTGATAAAGGGAAATATTATTAGCCATTTCATTCCATTTTATTTATTTTGGTTGAATGTGGGACTACCCGAGGTTTCTCATTTTTTTCTTTACTATTTGTTGTTTTTTGCCAATGCAGGAGGGTCTATAAGGACAGTGGTTTATGTCACTTACAGAAAGTGAAGTGCAAGAATTATTTAAACCAAATTTATTATTTTATACACCCTTTACATTTTTTCATTTCAACATTTAATAATTTAGTACACATTTTTGGAACTTAGATTAGTTTTTGGTAACCTCAGTGACCGTTGACCTCCTTACACAGGTGAATTTACATGATATCCTGCGCAGACTACATTTTTCAAATTTCTGTGTTAAAAATATATAATATAATTTAGCACATTTCGTTTTGCACAATCTGACTTATTCTACCTATGCCAAATGTGACATGTCCATTTATCCAGTGTGAGATCAATAAAGTAAGTAAGTAAGTAATGTTTATTTATATAGCGCATTTTACAGACCAAGGTCACTCAAAGAGCTTTACAATGTTCAGAGTTCAGATATTTATTCATTCTCCCCACAGCGAGTCGCAGAACACACTGGACCATTCATTCACTCTCTCCTTTACATTCATACCTATTGTGCATGTTTTTAGTGTTAGGGGAAACCGGAGCACCCGGAGGAAACCTAAACAGACACGGGGAGAACATGCAAACTCCACTCAAAAAGGCCCTGTTCCGACCGGGATTCGCACCCAGGACCTTCTTTCTGTGAAGCGAGTGCTATCCACTGATATAAACTATATTTTCACTTCATTTTCATTGTGTTTGTCTCCTACAGTATATGATATATTTAACTGAAATGTCTTATCAAAAAATGAAGGAATGTACATTGGAGCTCCACATGCAGTAACCCAGAATCCCCGTGTTTTGTCCAGTTCCACACACATGTTGCGGTCCTCGTCCAGGTCAGTGCCATACATCAGCGCTGTATATTATTTCTGTTTATCCCAGAAGGGAAGCAGCATTATCCAGTATTTGCCGCTGTCCTTGGAGGTCACCTGACCCCGGGCGCCAGCTTCTCCGTCTCCTCTGTGTGGCCCGGAGGCACAGCAGCAGCCTTGACTTTGGCTCCGCTCACAGCCTCATCTATCACCAGCGCGCCACTAACACCAAGGTCACACACATAATGAGGCGGGTCATGGTGATAAAAGCCACACTCTGATTGGATCACAGCCGACGCCACCTTTACGGGATCACAGTTAGAACGCAGATCTCAGCTTCAATGGGCCGCAACAACCTGGTCAAGTCGGAAGCAATAAAAAGGCCACAGTTCATTTTCCACACGTCAGGGGGCCATTGTGCTCTGTGGCCGTCATTAATTTCACACTGGACAAAGATTATTCTGACATGACCGCACAACATCACCTTTTAGCCCATGGAGATGCGTATCAGGACTTTGTCTGTACTGTTTACTACAGTATATGCAGAATAGATTTTCTGCCGAGCTATGTTGAAAGGAGGTAAAAATACAGTATATTTGTTGAGGCTGTTTGTGCGCCTGTCAAAATACAGTCTAATACATTGTGAGATTAATTTAAATTCTCTGAAAGAAGCTTCATGTCGTTATTCATTCGCTCGGTGGTGGTAAACTACAACTGTCGCCACAGCTGCCCTGGGGCACTCTGACAGAAGCGAGGCAACTCGAGCCCTCAATCAACCATTCTCACACGCACACGCACACGCACACCCACACCCACACACACACAGACGTATTCTAGGCAACCTACTGTTTCTTGAGGTCTTTCATCACAGTACTAACCAGGCCCTGTCCTGCTTAGCTTCAGAGGTCTGACGGGATCTGAACACATATCAATGACATTTTTCAACACACTTTCAAGCAATCAAACCCAAGGATGTCATCAGAAAAAGTGGCCCCATTGGCAATCGTTTTAAGAGGTTTCTCATGATTAATTAGAAAAGTCTTCAAACCAATGAACTACATTAGGTCATATACATGGATAAACGACACATAGGGCATATTGGCAATTGATGGCTTTGTAATTGACGATATTGACAGTGTGGTATTTCGTTGAACAGATTATGCTCTAAATCCAAATTATAGATAATCTAAAAGTGATGGAGCAGATTTTAGGCCACACGTCTGGATATTAGACTTTTGTGCAATTATGTTCAAACTGGACATGCCCATTACACCATTGTGTAAAAATTGATGTTTTAGTTATCTCAAGGTCAAAACGTATCTATTGGCAACTTAACAGATACTTAGGGCAGTGTTCCCCAACTGTTTTGAGACGTTGTACACGTTTTCTTTAATTGAAAACAATCATATATAGCACAACACCAGCTGAAACTGATACATGAATGAAACTGTAATCTTTATCAACAAAGCAAAGTCATTCTCAGCGAAGTGTTTTATCGAGAAAATCAAACAAGCAAAAATATAGTATTCTTCTCTCATTATTTTCATTTCTTTTTATTTTGACCAATTAGGTGATATCGAATCAATACCAAAGGCACACCAAACATTATCTCAAGGCACACTAACATGCCACGGCCCGCTAGTTGAAAAGTACTGGTTTAGGGGAGCTTCCAGGGTATACAACCATGTGAACGCTGTGAAAACTCTGGTTCCGTCACTGATAACTTCACCGGTAACAGATGAAGCCGAAGAGACAAAGTGGAGGCATGGACCACGCTGCTACAAATAGTTTTATTGTTCTCCAAACAACTTCAATGCAACTATTCAAGCAATCTACATTATTTAGCATGTACTGTACAACTTCTGACCTGAGCTCACCCCTTCTCGCCCACAACATAGCGTCACATCCACCTCCTTCTATTCTCTCCCTTTCCCTGCAAAAATGATAAAATATGAGGTAATACTTGATAGAATTGAGTGTTTTTATCTGGATTTCAGCACATTGTGACTGTCTTAAAACAAGATTTGCGAATGGGACAAAGTCAGTGTTTTAAGTCTCGTCTTAAGACCCATTTTACGCTAATTTTGTTTTAGTGATTTTTTATATTTATACATGTATGCACACAGTTTTTCCTATTTTATTTTTACTGATTTTATTATGGATTTGTTTTAATTAGTATTTTATTGTGCAGCACTTTGGAAACTGTGTTTATGATATGTGCTATATAGATAAAGTGGATTGGATTGGATTGGGTTTTCTCATTCCGAGGGAGACATTTCTTGTATCCTTCATTTTGGTTTGTCCCATTGGCAAATCTTGTTTTAAGGAAGTCAAAATGAGCTTGAAAAAAAGATACATCTTGCCAAATATGAGCAATTTTTGACTTTGATTTCTTCGCTTTTTGCAGTGTTGCCTTTGTCGCACTGGGGGGTAACATCCCAGAAGTGAACCGGCATTTTTCCCTTCGCCCTGTCGTGACGCGTGAGTGAGACCGATGTGTTGGGAGTCACCTCTTACCCCCCCAGACCCAGCCGTTCCCTCCCCCCCTCTGCCTCACACACACACACACACACACACACGCCTGACAGACAGACACAAGCTATCACCCCGTGCATCTCCAGCTCCGGGCCTCTATCGCAGCCCACAAAACAGCCCATTGCTCACACACAGGCTGCAAATTTCTCCTGCCTCCTCTCTCTCTCTCTCGCCGCTGATAAGAGCCAATATCAGTGACAGAAACATTTTTTACGTATGAAATGTAGCCCACAACATGCAGTCAAGCATTAGGTTTGTTTAAATAGGTGATCCTTATCGGCATTCTTTCAAGTTCTGACATTGTGCGCCCGGTTTTATTCCTGCGCTTTATTCCATCTCAAGACGCACAATTGGCTTCTAAAGAGGGTGCTGTCCGGGAGGCTGAGAAAGTTGCTATTTTAATTACTTTGGCAGGAGAGTTTTTTCTTTCTTTCCAGGCTTCTGCTGTGGTTAGTTTTACTCCACCGCTATGCCGGATTATTATTTTTTTGCCAGGGATTATGCGTCTTGTCAAAGCAGAGGCACTTTCACACCAATGTTGACTGTTGTTCAAATCAGATATTGGCTGCTTTCCATTTAGAGCTGAGGCTATGCTTGTCAGTGGGCCCAGTATTTTTTGTAATGATGGAAATAAGATCTCACAAATGCCAGAGTCGGTTGACATAATAGTTTTGGGGTTTGTGTTGCCAAGCCGAGAAGAGCAGATGTGGATGTGGACGAAGAGATGACGAGTTTGTCATCCAGAAATTTTAAGATGACTGGCAGCAGTAATGTTGTCAAAATGGTTTTCAATGGGAAAAAAACAAAAACAAATCCACAATCGTGGTACAGTTACTATTTAAAGTTGTATTTCATGCATATTCATTCATCCATCCATTTTCTTCCGCTTTATCCGTTGCCGGGTCACAGAGGGAGCAGTTTGAGCAGAGATGTCCAGAATTCCCGCTCCACACCCACTTCCTCCAGGTCATCTGGGGGAGTCCTGAGGCGTTCCCAGGCCAGATGAGAGACATTCCTGATTCATGCATATTCAAGACATATTGCTTCAAGGGTAATGTGTTAGTCTGTTTTGTTTGTTTGTTTGTCTGTCTATATAATAATACAAAAAGTAACAACATTAGCCTATATAGCTAACTCCGGAGTATTTACACAATGAAAGAACACATGAGGATTAATGTGCACTTCCCCAATTTAAAGAAATAGAATCAAATGTTAGATTTTTGAAAGTGGTCTGTATCACAGTCTCATTATAGATTCTGTGCCCACACTAAAAGACATTTAATAATAGTTGACTTGTAAGTGTTGTTTGTAATGTAATTCCAATAGCAAACACACACACATACGCACACGCATACACACACCCACACACACACACCCACACACACACACACACACACGCACATACACACACACCTTTTCTCACTAGATTAAATATACATGTGGAGTGTGGAGGAACAGTTTTCGGCCACTTTCATGTTCAATGTTCCGTGTTTTGTTATTGCAGACGTACATGCATGTCCTGTGGGGTCGTCCTGTTCAAAAAGCAAAAAAAAAAAACGTTCCCCCAGCTGACACCCCCTAACCCACATAAAAGGGGGCCACAGGGTCATTACCATAACAAGCCGGCGTGTTTCTGAAGATACACTTGTTCAGTTTAGACAGGGCCATGGGAGGGTGGGGTGGGGGGTCTGGGGACGTGGAGAAAGATGGGGGGGTCCACTTTATTTCAATAACAACGGGCAGACACGCAGCCTATCAAGTCCCGCTCTGAATGAAACACACTGATGGAGAGATAAGGCACAGATGCTAAAAGCAGGACCCACGCTGGACCCCCGATGCACCCAGCGTCATGTGGACCACAGCTCTTTGCATATGCACACTTTTGGTTTTATAGGAACAAGGCATTCTGCATTTTTTTGTCAAGTTTATAATTTTTTTTCTGTGAGGGCCCATATGTTGTTTGTAAAGAGCTAATGTGAGATGGAAGATTGCACTGCAAAAAGTGATGAAAAACTTGCTCAAATCTGGAAAAATGTACTGTAGCTCAATTTGAACACATTTGAATTCTTTAAAACAAGATTTGCCGATGGGACAAGCAAAAGTATCTTGTTTTAAAAAGATGCATGAATTGTCTCCCTTGGAATGAGAAAATGAAGCAACAATTCCTGAAATAATCATGTTTCAAGACAGTAAGAATCGACTCATCCGGCCACCCAGGGAAAGCCATGTTCCAGCTTCTTCCCTCTGGCAGAAGATATTGTTCTCTGAGATGCAGGACATCTCCACATCAGTCTGAACAGAGCACTTTAATTTTCTTGCACCTGTGTTGAAACTGTTTTAGGCGAACCGTTTTTCTCAGTGACAATTGTTCAATCTAAAATTTGGAATAAAAAAATACACTCATTTCAAGCAATTATTACCTCATATTTTTTTCTTTTTTGCAGTGTGGGGAGAGACATTCAGAGCAAGACCAAATGATGTAGTTCATTTGGTGCATTTGACGTTAGTTAGGACATGTCATGCATTGAATTGAAAATAAATGTAATTGTATCAGTAAATACATGTACAAAATGCATGCCTACTTCATGGACAAAGGCTGCAACACCCTTCGCAGCCTGGCACCGCTTGATATGTTTCTGATTTATTATTCACGTCTTATGGACCTGTGCAGTCTCAAATCCTCGGTTCTTAACCTTCTTTCCTGAAGGTGGTAGAAGCGGCTTTCTCCCATCATGCACTTTGAAACTCAATGCACTATTTTACACATTTTGTAAAGTGCATTGAGTTTCATTCATGTATTAAATGTGCTATACATCTAAAATGTCTTTTCCTTCACAAATACCCGGGGTGTCCAAGTAT